GAAGCCTGTTATCCTCTTGTCAATTTCGCTTTCTCTATATGCTACATGGCTTCACAGAGAATAGATTTCCACTTTGATTTATAAGGAAGTCAATGGTCTCAGATTTACAACTGAACCATTGTGGGATGGGGGTTTATTACTGCATACCTTTATGCTCCTTTTCCAGCCCTCAATCATATTTTTCAACTCCATACAAATGAATCTGAAGACAAATATCACAGGCTGTATCAAACTCCTCCTATAGTCAACTGTATGAAAGAATATCTTCACAGCATCCCGTATGCTTAAACTTTTGTGTGTGCGCACACACGCATGCATTCCGGCCTTCAAGGCAGTGTTGACTCCTGTCAACTGCCTGGACAAGTCCCTGCAGTTTTCTTGGCAAGGTTTTCATTGTCTCCTCCCAAGGGCTGAGAGAGTGTGACTGCTCCAAGGTCATCCAACTGGCTTGGTGCCTAAGGCGGGACTAGAATTCTCAGTCTCCCCGTTTCTAGGCTGGTGCCTTCACCACTGCACCAAGCTGGCTCTCTCTGCTTAAACTGGTCAATGATACTCTCACCTACATCCAAGTAAAATGCCAAATACAGCTGCAGCTACCAATAGTTTTTAAAAAATGACTGTATAGGTTATAGATTATACATTCCTTAATTTTCACTCTCTAACCTGAATCACAAACTCTGGACAACTTAAAGGGAACAAGAGGCTTTTAATTTCCTTTCTTCCAGTATGGAAGGTGTCATTTCAACATGAGAATAATTATTAATTATTGTCATGGTGCAAACTTTGTATCCTTGAACTGTTGGATGGGACTGCAAAGCCCCTCTAAACATTATTAAATGTAAGAGGCACATTATTAAATATTTAAAGGAAGCATCATATTAATTATATTTCAGTAATTAAATCAATCTTAGATTTTGTCTTATTCCCACATTCTACTTTGTGCTGCTCTTACCTGCATTTAGAAAGACCTCACTCTAAGTCTCAATAAAGTTCTAAGTCAGAAAAAGTATTTTCTGGATTAGTGGTATGCAGATGTTGGATATATGCAAAATTCCCCCTTAAAACCACCAGAAATTAAGGATCTGGAGAAGATCATTAGAATTCTGTGAAAGATAGTAGACAATTCCCTGAACCATCCATCACCTGCAAGCTTGTAGCTCATCTGATGGGGGTCCTTCCCAGTGCTCAAAGACCCTAAGAAACACAGTTGATTATGTGCCATTAAATTAGTGTTGATCCTTCATGACTATGCAAATAGACCTCCTGAATGATCAGTCTCCAATCTGGCCCTTCATGCCTCCTAAAGATGCTGCTGTAATTGAATCCATCCACCTTGTTCCTGGTCATCTCTTCTCTTTCTTTCCACCTTTCCCAGCATTATGGATTTCTTCTAGGAGTTGGATCTTTGCATAACATGTCCAAAATTATATAATTTGAGCCTGGTCATTTATGCCTGAAGTAAGAATTCTGTATTGATTTATTCTATGATCCATTTGTTTGTTTTCCTGGCTATCCATAGTATTTTCAAGATCTTCTCCAACACCATAGTTCAAAAGCATCAATACACTTTCTATTCTGCTTCTTCAGAGTCCAACCTTCACTTCCATAGTGTCACAGGAAAAACCACTGCCTGCATCATTCTGAGCTTTGTAGATATAGACATGTCATAGGATCTGAATATTTTTTCCAGGTTTCTCATTTGCTACCCATCCAAGTGCTAGTCTGTGGCAAATTTCTTGATTGCTGGTTCCTTTATCATTGATAGTCAGTCCTAAAAGGCAAAGCTATTTGCCACTTCAATGTCTTCACTGTCAATTTTGGTTGCTTACTTGTTGTTAGTTTGGTCTTTATTTTTAACTGATTTAATATAATTCTCATTTTTTCACTGTGCTCCTTTACTTCCATTACTAGAACTTGCATTTTTAACTACCAGAGTAATACCATCAGCAGAGGGCAAATTATTGATGTTTCTTCCTCCAATTTTTAAATCACATCCATATTCTTCCAATCCAGCTTTCCTCAATATACATTCAACATATAGGTTGAATAAATGAGAGCGTATACAGCTTTGTCTCACTTCTTTGCCAATCTGGAGCCAATCTGTTTCACCATGTTCCATCTGGACTGTGGCTTCTTGTCCTATGCAGAGGTTTCACATGAGGACAATGAAATGTTTGGGATTCCCATTTATTCATTCATTCAGTCAGTAAATTTATATGGACGCCCATCTCATATACATGACTCTGGGCGGCTAACAATTAAAACAAATAGAAACAAAGTAAAACACAACCAACGATTAAAAACATAAATAACTTAAAACAGCATAAAATGGCAGACAAGAATTAACAAACGACACACAATCAACACAACCAGACAACAAGCTCACCCTCACTATCAGGGCCCCAGGCTTGATGGCAAAGCCAAGTTTTTAATGCCTTGCAAAAGGCCAGCAGGGTCAGGGCAAGTCTGATCTCTGCGGGGATGGTACTCCAAAGGGCAAGTGCCACGGCAGAAAAAGCCCTTCTCCTGAGTCCCACTAGATGATGCTCTCTTACGGAGGGGACCCAGAGCATTGCTCTCCTGCCTTTCCTAAACACTTTCTGTAGCCTGACATTCAACAGACAATGAAGCACGTGTTGACTTATTTTTGGTATTCTGTGGATTTCTCGATTATTCAGCATCCATCAGCAATAATGTCTTGTGTTTTTCTAAAATCATCTTAACCATCAGACAGTTCCCTTTGCATGCAGGGCTCTAATCTGCATTGGATGATCCTAAGCATTATTTTGTTACAAATATGAAATTAAGGATATTCTGTGATAGTTTGCATGCTTTGCTAAGTCTCCTTTCTTTGGTATTGGTATGTAGATGTATCTTTATTCACTCATTGCACTAAATTCTGAAGTAGATGGCTTTATCAAATCAATAACCCACTGTGGGTTATTCAGCATACCATAATTTAGTACAAATGTGTACATCAGGTCACATTAAAGCCAACCAGATGGTAAGGTTCCTATATAAATTATGGACCCAATATGATTTTATTGCGATCTAGCCTCCAAATAGTTCTCAACTACTACCATAATACATAGCCCTAGGAAAGTAAAGTGGAAGGTAGCTTTGGTAAGGTAATCTGCATTCACAATTTCACTTCGCTGATGTAATAATTAATAACTTACATCTCATGAAACAACTTTATCACCACATTTCCAAGAAGCTCTAACAATATTAGTAAATCTACAGGTATGAATACAGCAGCTTCTTCAACAGCAATATAAATATATACGCACCCAAACACCCACACACCCATAGTGACCTCATAGACAATTTATTAGATAAATTACATTAAATGTTTGAATTGGTTGCCACTTTCTTCTATACCTTCCTTACTTGTTTGATGCATGAACTCTGAACATTTCTAAGTATGTTAACATTTTCTCTGAAAAAAAATTAATAAAATTAATAGTACAGGTAGCCCTCACTTAATGATTGTAATTGGGACCAGCAATTCCATCGCTAAGTGATGTAGTCTAAAGTGTGATCTCATGTGACTGCATCGACTTATGACAGCAGTTGTGGCAGTTGCGGTCGTTAGGTGAATACCGCACAGTTGCAAGGTCCCACAGTCATGTGATTGCCATCTGCAACCTCCTGCCAGCTTCCCTATTGACATTGCTTGTCAAAAGCCAGCAGTGAAGGTTGCAAATGGTGATCACATGACTGCAGGACCCTGTGAAGTTGTAATTGCGAGCCGGTTGCCTAGCACCTGAATTGCAATCACGTGACCACAGAGACACTACAATGGACACAACTACAAGGACCCCTCATTCAGTGCCGTGATAACTTCAAATGGTTGCTGAACAAGTGGTTGTTCAACAAGGATTACCTGTATTGTGATTGGTCTATGGGGCCTGACCTTTGGTATACCCTTTGTCGTGTGTGTGTACAGGCAGTCCTCAACTTACAACCATTCATTTAACAACCATTCAAAGCTACGCCAGTGCTGAAAAAAGTAACTTATGACCAGTCCTCACACTTACGACCATTGCAGTGTCCCACAGTCACATGATCAAAAAGTGGGCACTTGGCAACCGGCATGTATTTACGACGTTGCACTATTCTAGGGTCATGTGAATGCCATTTGCAATTTTCCCAGGGGGCTTCCGACAAGCAAAGTCAATGGGGGAAGCCAGATTCGCTTAACAACCATGTGACTCACTTAACAACCATGTGACTCACCTAACAATCACGGTGATTCACTTAACGACCATGGCAAAAAGATCGTAAAATTGGGCATGATTCACTTAATGACCACACTGCTTAGCAACAGAAGTTCTGGTCCCAACTGTGGTTGTAAGTCGAGGACTACCTGTATGTAGATATATACGACACCCACATGTACATTGAATTATAAAGGTCCCTGCCACAAGAGTTTCCAAACTTGGGGAAAAAACTCAAGGGAGATGCATATTCATTCACTGTACTCATATTCATTTATTGTACTCATTGTGTTCTTTTTTCTTTTGGTCTTGCAAACTGGGAAAAGAAATTCATTAATTAGAGAATGGACCCCAAATTAAATTATATTAGTTTAGAAATAGTTTCTGTAAGATTGAACAAATATTAAATTAACCTCATCATTATTATTATTATTATTATTATTATTATTATTATTACTCCTCCTCCTCCTCATGGAAGATTACAACAACATAAAAATTTTAATTTACATTTGATATGCTGATTATACTTTACAATGTGATTACTACAAGTAGTTTGACATGAATTAGCGCAAAAACTGACATCAAAATTTATTTAGAAACGAAGGAACTTTTCATTAATGCAAACATAAAACAATATATAACCAATATTCTTGGTTGAAGCCCCTTCCAATCTGCATAACATGACATGGCACCATCATGATGCTATTAATATAATAGAAAAACACATTTCAAGGGTCCCATTTGCATGAAAGTTAGAAGTTTTTAAACAAATCTACTTACATGCTTTTTTCTATATTGAGAAAGTTGTGAGAGGGCAAACACAGTTGCTACAGCACCTCCTCCTATAAGGATAGTTCCTTTCATTGCCTTTCGAAAAGCCATGATTTAGCTCTAGAAAAGAAAACAAACAGGAAAGTTTGCCAGTTTAGAAAACGTTCTTCTAAACTTGAAACAAGAAACTGAGGAAGTCTGTGTAATGCATGAGAGTTTAAAAGGTTCATAAAGGGATACCCACATTAGGCAAGGAACTTTGGATAGAATATTTAGCTTTGCTGACTAAAAAGAAATACGATTCCATTCCAAGGGTCCTTTGAAGAACTACGTGTTTGATTATGAGTAAAGACTAGCTAAAACCTTGGCAATCACAGTATTATTGCAATGCAAAATACAAATAGTTGAAAGCCCAAGTCTCAAAAATAATAACTCCCATCATAGCTCGTTTACTTATAGTATTAACATTATTGCATTTCAGCCATACAGGTATTCAAAGCAATTCACTATCATTAATTCAAAAAACCTCAGATTATACTGCTCTCACAAGAACATATCTGGAGATACTGATGATATATAGTGCATTGGCTCTGCTTCCACGAGACCTGGTAATACCAAAAGAACAAGAATGCTCATATTCACAGAAAATAATTAGAATCCTTTTCTCAGCCCATGAAGTATATCATATTACTACATCCACGTATGCCATACAGCAGCATTTATGTATCTCCCTCCCTCCCTCCCTCCCTCCCAGAAGACAAGTTGTAGGAAAGTCCTACACTTACCCCATACACAGTCAAACACATAATTTCCTACATACAGTAGTACATAACCTTGAAACATAACATAGATTGGATACTGCAGGTAATACCATAAAAAGACCTTATTTTCTCATCCTAACATTCTAAACTGCTGTTTCCTTATAATGTCCTTCTTAATACAATAGCGGCAGTGATATTGTGCAGCTTTGCCCAGTCTGATGTACTTCACAAATATTAGGACTACAAGTCCCAGAATTCCCAGTAGCCATTTATAGTCCCAACGTATTTGAAAGGTGCCAGGATGAGGAAGTCTGATGCAAAGCATGAATACTGAAAAATGAATTCACAACCAGAAGTTGGCATGTGGTACATATAAGCCTCATCCCCTGAAACACCCCCATATCTGCCAAACTAAAATTGAAAATAAAAAAATCAAATTTTGGCAATTTTTGGCTGGCTATGTCATTGTGTGACACTGAACAGTGATGCTGTGGCCAGAAAAAATAGCTGACTCCCATTTTGAACTATGCAAATATGTTGTTTTATTATTCAAACGCATATGGGAAGCTTTAAATTATTAGTACTTCCTTATTTCTCTTTTTAACGGGGGGGGGTCATTATTTTTGTTATTTATAATGACAAAATGATGAACACCAAGCCGAGGAAGGCTGGGTCATCTCAACAAAACATGCCTTCTCTAATCGTGAAAAGCAGCTGCATAGCAGGTCAGACTACCTGTCCACCTACCTCAGCCTTCCCCAATCTGGCAGCCTCCAAATGTGTTGGGACTTCAACTTTCAGAATTCCTTGGCTTGCATGGGCCTCTAAAAAATTCCAAAAATTGTCCCAACACATCTCAAGGCCATCAGGTTAGTGAAAATCGATCTAGCCCAGTCCTATCTCTACCAGTCTCACTTGCAGCAGCTATCCAAACGTTTTTCAGATCACCTACTCCCTGACTTTTCTCAGGAATCTTCTGCATGCCAGCCAGCTGCAGCCTCTTCTCAATACATTGTGCATTATATTCTGCCATATGGCCCCAGTCCAATTCATGGGCAAAAATTCCATTCATTCGATTTCAGAAAGCTAAGCAGAATCAGGCCATTTAGATGGGAAAACACTAGGAAACAGCCATTGTGGAAGAAAACAATGGCAAACCTCTTCTGTATTGTTGCCAAGAAAACGACCTGGACGTGTCCATGAAGTCACCAGGTGTCAAACTCAACACAAGAGTGCTTTTCTTTTTGCTTCTACAAAATTTGGTGGCACCATTTGGACTGATTGTCTCAGTCCACCAGGTAGGCGTCAGCCACATACTGATTTCAAGAGGAGTTGTGCAAACAAGAAGTAGGTAGGATAAGCCATGTGTTTGGATACAGGAACAGTTCTGCAAGCTAGAAAAGATTAACTGTGGAATGAGGAAGGCACACTTATCAAATCCAATCATCAGTTACACCCTGGTAAGCCACTGTTTGTCAGCACTAGAAAAAAAGCTATTCATCTTTTGCATAAATTCACTTGTAATTATACAACCTCTTCAATAAGCTTTGTGGAAAAGCATTAAAGGTCTATATGAAAAACCATGGAACTTTTAAAATATGCTTCCTAAAATAAGAAAGTTATTGCAGTACAGGTAGTCCCCGGTTAAGAATGCCCGGGTTACAGACAACCCATAGTTAAGAAAGGAGCCTACTGTAGCAAAATTCAAGGTAAATACCCAATGGTTCAAGTTCATTACACAATGCAATAATACTGTTCCAGTTTACATACAAATTCGGCTTAAGGAAAGACCTTGGGAACAGAACTCATTCTTAAACTGGGGGCTACCTGTACAGTCTTTCATACTTTTTCAGGATCTAGTGTGAAGGAAGAGAGGGGATGATTCTTCTAAAACGATGCCTGCCACCTAGTTTTTATAAATTCTTGTGTTAAAACAACTAACATTTTAAAATCTGATTTTTTAAAAAATGGCCGACTGGACTAGTTTAAAATATTGTTATTTGATCAATCTCACTGGCCTATGTCTCTAATCTCATACCAATTTCCTCGGGAGTAACCTCCACTGAAAACAGAATTTAAGTGAAGACAACAACAAAAACACGCTCAACTCCTGATGACTTCATGGACATATCTATGTAGTTTTCTTGGGAACAATACAGACTTGGTTTGCCACTATCTTCTTCTGGGATGATTTTTCAATTTCTCAATCGGATCTACAGCTCAGACCACAGCAAATCAGATGGAGCTGACTGCTCCATTCTTCCAAGAGGGCATCAAATGCAGACTCTCAGCTATACCAGTCTGGAACTGATATACTGATGCATTGTGCCATCAAGTCGTTTTCAACTCCTAGTGACCACATAGATAAGATTTTCTCCATGAATCAATCACACACAACCAACTGGGAGAACAGAATACCAATAAACCAACCATAACAGAAGGGCATTCCACAATCAGTCTGTCCCCAAGGCTTGTGACAACAGCCAAGGCTATAACAATTTCCTAAACAAAGGGTGGGGGCCACATGAATCTTGGGGGGGGGACAACATTCCAGAGGGCAAGTACAGCAGCAGAATAGATTGATTCACTATCATACAGATCTTACAGTGAGGAGGTTTTTGCTATATTTCAATGAACTCTAGGTAGTTGCAACTTATATCCATTATTTTTGGTTCCAGTTTTTTCTCTTCTCCAGACTGAATATCCCAGGTTCCTTCAGCCTGTCCTATTCGGCATCTTGTCAAAGATGAGATTTGTCTCAGATTACCTATTTTTATAAAGCTACCTGTATGCTGACTCTTAGCAATCACAGCAGTCTTCAAAATCCTTACCAATGGCCTGCTTGTTCAAACATCTCTCCAGATATTAATGTCAGGTTCACTGATCAATTATTATTGTAATCCTCTTTTTCCTTTCTTGAAGAGGGAAACTACATTTTTTCCTTCCCCAGTCCTCTGGCATCTCCCCAGTTCTAAAAGACTCCCCCAAAATAATAGCTCCTCAGCAGTTCCTTCAGTATTCTAGGGTGTATTTCATCAATGCCTGGGGACTTGAAGGCATTCAAATTAGCCAGAAGCTCCTTTACTTCATCCCTACTGACCTGCACCCTTTCCTGTTATGTACCTTCCCAGTGTATGCTACTAAAATAGTATTTTCCTTTAGATGTAAAGACTGAAGCAAAATAGGAGCTTCCCTAGTTTCTCCTAATTCATTAAGAATTCATTTGGAGAAAGCAGTGAGTCTGCCACTTCCTTTGTCTTCTTGTTTGCTATAAACATATTTTAAGAAAGCCTTCTTGTTGGATTTTGTCTCTCTTGCTAACTTTAGCTAATCTTCCACCTTTGCCTTTGTGTACTTCCTGCACTTCTGAGCCAAAATTTTATAAACTTTCTTGAGTTTTAGTCCTTCCTTCCATTTCCAAGAAGCATCCTTCTTTACTCTCAGCTCCTTCATAATACATGGGCTCCTTTAGATACTGGATCTCCTAGTTTTCTTCCTCACTGGTATTGTTTGAGACTGCAATACCCTTAATTTCATAGGCAGTGACAGTATTTTTGCATTTCAGGTTGTCTTCCCATGACATTTTCCTTACCATTTCTCTTAATTTATAAAAGCAACCTTTCTAAAAGCTTTTTGTTAAAATCAAAAACAGATGTGATCACTATACACTTCCCACCACTTTAATGTATTCAACTCCTCCCTGCCAGTTAGGACCAAATCTAAGGTAGATCTCCTACTGGCCAACTCAACTTTTTGAAAGAGAAAATTACCACCAACACTAGTTAAGAATTTATCTGACATCTTGTATTTGGCAGAAGAATTAGATTTCCAACAGATTGCTAAAATCTCCTATTACAACCACTTCATGGGTTTTTTTTAAGGCTTTAGTTAATCTGTTTTAATAAACCTTCATGTACTTCTTTGAACTGCTTTGGTGATCTACAGCACACTCCTAGCAAGATATCCCTGCTATTAGCTTGCCCTTTTATTTTGAGTTTTTCAACAATCATATTACCATCAGCTCCATGGAAGTTCATTAAGATAGAGAATGCTACATTACCTTCCCTCTTGTGTCGTCTGCTCCTCTGAAACAAACTGTAGCCTTCAAGCCCAATGTGACACTGGTAGATTCATCTCACCATTCTCAGTGTCTAATGACACACAGCTCATCTTGTTTGTCACCCATACTTTGAGCATTAGTGCAGAGACATTTAAGATAATGGGTTGGACTCCTGTGTTCAGTTTCTCTTTGCCTCTACTTCCTTTGTCTCTAACTAGCAATTTTTTTTTGTTGCTGCATTCAATCCACTGCTTGACTATTCATTACTCACCAATGCTTGTATGACTCCAACTCGTTTG